TCTTTCTCTCTCTCTCTCTCCCTCCCTCCCTCCCTACCCCCCTCTCTCTTTCTCTCTTTTTCTCCCTCTTTCTCTCTGTGTCTCTCTCTCTCTTTCTTTCTTTCTTTCTTTCTCTCTTTTCCTCTCTCTATCTATCTATGTCTTAATTTCTCTTGTTTTCTCTCTTCTCATTACTTCACCGAGCTGATCACCGGGGACTTCTCACCAGTACATGCACCATGCCTTTGATTATTCTATTATTTCTTACTTTCTTTCAGGCGAGTTCTAGTGGTTGAGAGTCTAAGTAAAAGATCAAACGACGAAAATGGAAACCAACCACAGTTCGCAAACTGGTATGAAATTCAGACTCCTTGTTTTCTAATGCCGCCCATGCCTCTTTTCATTCAAAATGTTTGTTTATATCAAAGCGTAGTATTCTACCAGCTACTTTTTAAATATTTTAACTGTACGTTCCTGCTTACTCCATTCCTGTTTGTTAGACTATTATCTGCTTATCTAACTTTTATAATTTTGTTATTTATCTATGCATCTATGTTTTCATTTATATATCCATCGATTAATACATTAGACGGGGGTTCAAAAAGTCTTTGGTCAAAATATGAAGGAATAAAGATAGAGCTTTGTAACTTGGCACACATACTTTCATTTCTCTACATAGTCACAATACAGAGTAACACATTTCTGCCACCTCTCTTTGACCTTCAAAAATCCTTGAGAAAAAATGACCAAAAATGGGCTCCTAACCAGTCTTCCACAGCTTCAATGGCGTCCTCGTTGTCATGCAAACGACGTCCTTTCAGTGATTTTTTAAGATTAGGAAACAGAAAAAAAGACTGAAGGGGCTAGGTCTGGTGAATAAGTTGGGTGTGGCAGGATTTCAAAGCCGCACTGTTCTGCTGTCTGGACTGTTTGTTGTGCTCTGTGCGCAGTAGCGTAGTCAAGCAGTAGAAGGGCCCCATGACGAAGTTTTCCACGCCTTTTTTCTTACGAATTCGGACCACAATTTTATCAGCAAACCCAAATAGTAGTACCTTATGACTGTTTTTTTATTTTCCAGGTAGTCAGTCATGATGATACCTTCACAATCGCAGAAACAAAACAGCATGACCTTTCCACTTGACCGTGTTACCTATGCCTTCTTTGATTAGGGAGAAGAAGGGGTTTTCCATTTCAAGGAGGACATTTTTTTGTTCTGGATCAAAATGATAAATCCATGTTTCATCTATAGTCACCAAGTTCTTATGTGTGTCATTGGACTCAATTCGAAGGAAGGTTTTGCAGAACTCAATCCCCTGCTTCTTTTGCTCACTGGTCGAAAGGCGGGGTACCCACGGCACAGACACCTTATTCATGTATAGATGGCCATGGAGAATCGTTTCAATTGACCCTACACTGATTCCAGTTTCACCAGAGAGCTGTGTAACAGTTATACGTCGGTCTGGTAAAACCAGTTTCTTCATTATGTGGCATTCTCTTCAGTTACCACAAAGGATGAGCGCCCTTCACGATCTTCATCCATCATTGACATGAACCCAGATTTGAATTTTCTTACCCAGTATGTCACAGTATTATAACGAAGACATTTGTCACAAAAACTTGGACCATTTCCTGAAAATTTTCCGAAGGGGATTTTCCTTGCAAGTGTAAAAATTGATAACTGAGCGATATTCAACAGGCTCCATGGCACAGCCTCAGCAAAAAAAAACTAACCTTTTTGTGCATGGTTTCATTGAACACGCTGACTAGTGCCTTACTATTGTCGGATTTTTCCGAAAATGTGCTTGGGTGTGTTCCAAAGAAATTGTCTATAGGCTGGGGAAATTTCATTACTCTGCCATGATTCCTTCATACCCAGACCACAGACTTATTGAACACCCCCCCCCCCCTCTCGTATTTCTATCGGTCTCTCCATATAGATATATATCTACCCGGACTTCTGTATATCTATCTTTCTAATAATCAATATCAAAGAGGGAAAGCATCTAAATATCTCTTGACTGTGGTCCTTTGTTTGTTTTTATTTTATAGAACCTTCAGCCTGAGCTTCACTCGCCAATGTCCCAGTCTGTCTTATTCTTTAATGCCACGAAACATTCAACGGATTTTCGAACAGCCACAGAGACAACATAACCATCAATATACTCAAACCCACACTACAGAGATAACACGATAACATAATCATCAATATACTTGAGCCCAAACAAGCTTTTATGTTCACTTAGAACACAATTTTGTGTGAATTGTATTGAAAAAAAGTTGATTAAAGGCACAAAAAAGTTTTGAATTGAATTTTCTAAGCACACTCAAGTTTTGGAGGTCACCCAACTTTAGCGGTCATTTTCTCGCAATTTTTACCTCTAACATAAGGCAACTCCTACCTCCTTCAATCGTTAATGTTCTTTTCAAGACACAGGTGTATTTTTATTAAAAGAAAGACAAAAAAAGCTTTGAGATGATGCCAATAACTCCATATGTTCAAAATTTAACGAGCTCCTAATTCCATCGTAAAATGACACAAATGAAAGAAAAGTAAGGTTTCCTAGCTCTTTGTGTCCAGTTGTAAAAGACGTAGGTAGCTCTTTGCTGTTCGTGGCATATATATTGTCGAAGTAGCCCCTGACCCCAAAAGCTTGCCCACCAGTGATCTGTACCCCATTTTTGTTCAAGGGGGGGGGGGGATATTGTTGTTTGATTTTTGTTTGTTTTTTGGGGTTTGTTTTTGTTTTGTTTTGTTTTGTTTTGTTTTTTGTTTTGTTTGGGTTGGGGGGGTTTGTTGGGTGTTTGTTTGTTTGTTTGTTTTTGTGTGATTTTTTTGCCGGGGGGGGGTATAAATGTCCAGTCTCACTGTGTTCCCTTCCTTTCGTCTGCTATCCGTCTCTACTGGGCTTTTATGACGTTGCAATGTTTGGCGTGTATTTTTAACAAGTCAGACAGTGCCTATTTCGTTGTCCACCGTCTAGTATATTGATCTTTTTACTGATTATCCTTTTCTGACCATCGTCTGAATAAAGTATATTTATATTGCCAATGCTTGCAACAACGTTCGTTAAATATACTATGTTTCATTTCTATAACATGTCACATTGACCATTATACCATTCAAATTTAAATCTACCAGTACCGGATTTATCTTTTCAGAAACAGGTACATTATAATATTTAAATACCATACAAAATACAGCACAAGCCATACGCCAGTCTATAGACAGGAAATACTTTAAATAAAAAGGAAGTATGATGCCAAATCGATCCTAATTGTGTAAACACTAGAATCTGAAAAAATAAAAAAAATTGGGATCTTATTGAACAATCCTGTTGTCTAAATACATGTACTTTTTAAACTATTGAACTGCCCCATTTCACTGCAGAGCCGACTGCAGTTCAGCTGCACTCGGTTGTTTGATTTAATAAAGTAACAAATAATATTTGATTCACCAACAACGCTTTATTTCGTCTTAGGCTGAGATGATCTATCACAGCTTCTGCTTGATCGACTACTTCTCTACCCTTCCTGTCACCCTGACCTCTACTGGCCTGACACTGCCTTAGTTGTGTTATTGGTGCTCTTCATCTCTTTAATTAAAACCAACCAAAATTAAAGCTGTTTTTTCATCTTGTTTGTTTGTTTGTTTCAGCTCCCACACAAACTGCATCCCTCAGAGGATGGATCACGACCTTGAGACAAGTACTTGCACATCCCAGACAGACACTGGACGAGCCAGTGTAATCAACTCCCTCTCGCTGGACAACGGACTCGTCCTGCGGATCGACTCCAGATCGACAGTTCCAAACGATGTGATGCTTTCAGACAGCGTTACCAATGGGTCTACCTCTAAAGACCGTCGCAGTTCTATAGGAAGAGCATTCTCTTTGTTTGGAAAAAAGAGGCGTGGGAGTAAGCAAAATACACACCGAATGAATACTCGGAATAAACAGTCGAAACGACATTCTGATGTAACGACAGCTAGCGAGACGTGCCCAGACGTGAGGATGTTTAAGATGGCAAGGAAAAGTTCATTGACCAATTATTCGTCTAGTGTGAATATGTTGAGTTTTACCAGCAGAGAGGATCTAGATGAAATGGTAACAGAGCCCTAATGGGTTAACGTTTTGGTTACGTGCGATGAATATGACTTAGAGATATTCCCTAGAAGCAATGTACATGACCTTTAACAAGACATTTACAGGTGTCGGGGACAACGTGATATGGACAGTGCAACAACTTCTCAGCTTAATAACACAAGGTCAATCCTGTAAACGGTGTGATTAATCAAACCCAAGACTCTCAAAAAACATCTTTTTCCTCTTGAGGGGATGGACACTGATAGCCACTGGGGTGAGAGTAAGCTTGCTGACAGAACTGTTTGTCAGGAAGCAGTGCAGAAGACCAGACAAACACGGACAAGAAAACTTTCATTTCCAGATTCAGTGTAATGTCTACGTAAGACACCGTGAGTTTGTTAGAAGGAAAGACAATAATAAATTTCATTGGGATGTAGAGCTGAGATAGAAGACTTCCAGAAAAGGCGTGTGAAAACGACACCAGGATTCCTTCTCCAGTGCTTCATTCGTTAGTCAAATGTGTAACCAACCAGTTAACCGACAGATGAACAGAATGGATTAACAAATTCCTCAAAAAGGATAAATATTTTGACAAAAGTGTTGTCCTGAGGAAGTTTGTCCAGGGACCAATACAGACATGTCAAATCACTCTTGGGATATAGCTGCCTGCAGTCAGCCATACCTCAGATTAAAGGGGAAGTGACAAGTGCTTCAGCGTTTTTGTGATAATAGTGATATGTTGGAGACTCGAAACTGTTCCTGCATGTGCAATCTTTAGCAATTTTCAATATTCCAGAGACGTGCATTGTTCACAGATTGTGACTTCGATTTTGTGGTGACAGCACCTGTCTTTGTCAAGAAGTTGCCCACAGAATTTCATCAAGCACGTTTTTTTGTGGGTGTTTTTGTAGAAGGATGAGAAGAATATTCGTTCTCTTTTCCGATCTAGTTCTTCTTCACACTTAGATAACAGTCATTATTATAATTCCACTATTCTCTTCTTTTTTTTTTTGAAAGTCTGCAAATGTGTGAGTTTAACTAAAGCGTAAAGGGGAACATGACCTCATTATATTCATAACGTGCACTTCTCCATCTCTGGTTGAAATCCACTACCCTTGCGTCAGTTTCTTGAACAACCTTAGTAATGGTGTTCCTCACACGATAATACACTTCATTTTTTGTAGATTTTTGCGGAGGGAGGTGGGGTGCTGAAATATCTCACGTCTAAATGAAGTCCTAGATGACGATTTCGTATTCGCCATATCATATCCTTTTTAGTGACAAAAGGTCACTACCCTTTCCACTGCTGTGGCCATTGGTGCAGTTCTCCATGTTCTAGAAATTAGATAAGACTACTGTGTCATAGACAAATTCAACTGCATTTCCTGCTTTTATTTTTTAGAATACTGCACGAGATTTAGAAAACTCAAGAGTACAGAGAAAGAGTGGTTGGCCTACCCTTTCGTCACAACTCTTTAATATTTTAGCAAGATTCACCAAACGACGGTTCCTCTCAAGATTTTTTCGAAAGCTTCTATGTTCCTCCCAAACGTTGAGGTTATCGACCCCAATAATTAAGTGTTCGACTTTTCTCACTGACGCAGACACGATCTTGTGAGAACAGATCGACTCCTTAGTATAACCCTCTGCATTGCGCCATTTTGAAAAAATGACGAATGACGGATATACACTTAAAGGCTAATGCTTTCCAAGTCCAGGGAACACATCTTCATATCAAAACGTTGTTTTTCCCAACCTTAATGCCACTTCCCGTGCTTTGTGTGGCCCACATTATGTCTCACTGGCATGCCCCTGTACATCTCAAGTTCAATTATGTAAATTAGCGACAGGGACAAATTTACTTGAACACACGTTGAGTTGTTTGTTATCTTGTGAATTTTATTTATATGTTCCTCAATCTGTACAATATACGAGTATACAGTTATTATTTATTGAAAATATCTACAGGAAGCGTTTTACTTTCAGATCATGAATAAGTACTCTTACGCCTTTATGTACGTAACATTTATGTATGAAATCACTTATTCAGCTTCTCTCTCTCTCTCTCTCTCTCTCTCTCTCTCTCTCTCTCTCTCTCTCTCTCTCTCTCCTTCTTTCTCTCTCACTCTCTCTCTCTCGCTGTCTCTCTCATTCTCCATTCTCACTCTCTTTTAGACATCTCCCTCTGCCATCGGACATTCTTGGACATATTTTGTAACAGACACATATGTAACTACACTTTTCAATGCTATTTACAATATAGGTACACACATGTGGAATGACATTGATAACTTGATAAACAAAATGGGAAAAGATTGATTATAACGTAACTTTAGGAAACACTCACACATACTCATAAAGCTTTCTCACTTGCAAACGTTTGTGGACTCATGAAAACAGGAGGAGAAAAACATGAATTTGGGAACAATCAAACAATATCAGTCTAGTACTCATTATATGCGTCCTCTTGAAAAACGTGAACCAAAATCTGTTTGTTTTTTCGTAAGTTCTAAAACACAAACGGACATACATACTAACAGGCATACATGAACATGAACGCATGAACACAACTCGCGCATGGACATACCCCAAAAGACACCAAACGATGAACAAACAGATACAAACAGCGTCAGCAAAAGGCTCTTGACAAAATTCACTCAGGGCACATTCATTTTGTCGTCACGGTTCTTCAGCACCAGGCAGCCTCGGTAATCTATATCGTACACATTATGAACACACACACACACACACACACACACACACACACACACACACACACACACACACATGTAAGCCATACGTAAAATTTCGATAAATGATATGCATGAACACTTAGTGATAACAACAGACTACATATCGTTATCAGTTCAACTTTTGAAATAAATATGTGAATAAAATGGGTGACATTGCATAAATGCTCATTTCTAAGTTGCGAATTATACACGAGATGATGAGCTCTTCTTAAAGAAATAATATGTACATCGTTCAAGGATGTGAACAATGACATACAATATACATTTATTTTTATGGAATAAATTACAGTCAAACAATTTATACAGTCATACTGGTAACCCCCCACCCCCCATTCGTCAATGTCGTTCCATTCTTCAGCTCTTTACAAAAGAATCTTTCAACTCTCTAGAATATTCTGTTGTTTCTATTGTGACTCAGTCTACATGCACGCTGTTTAGGGATCGTTGTCATGTTTTTGTTCCTTATTCAGACAGATTAAACATGTCTATTTTTACTCAGTCTTAGATGTTCTATTCCTTCTCTTATCCGTCTTCTCTCTCTCTCTCTCTCTCTCTCCGCAGGGCAGATGAGAATACGGAATACAGTGAAGCCACCGTTATTATAGTGGAGGGTAGTGAATGTGAGACGTGAAGGAAAGATGAAATGTATGAAATGATGATGATGATGATGATGGTGATGATGATGATGATGATGATGATGATGATGATGATGATGATTTCTTGTCTCGAGACATCAAATTGTTCTGACGACTATCTAGCGGACGAAGATGGCATACTCCATTCTGAACACTCCAGGGAACTGGTCTACTTAATTACTACAACTGGTATGTTCGTGCACTGGGGAAAAAGAAATGAAAGATTCAGTACTAAACCGTAACAAAGCTATCGTTGCATACTTCAGAACAATGATAAGCAGCTTTGGTAGTTTCTGGAAGAGATAGAAACCGTGTGGAGAACATTTTGATATAAACTTTGAACGCTTAAGATTTTGTCCTAACCGAATGCTCTTTTTTTAACTTTTTGTTAGCACCTATTTCTGTGTACTTGTATGTAACAATTTCAACTGTATTCCAAACAAACAACATCCAATAATATGAAAAGGAATTTCAAAACTATTTGAAATTTTTTAAAACGTTCGTCTGGTATGATTTTGAAGACAGTTAAAGACAACATTTTCGATTTTACTTCGCCAGCCCGATAGTTCCTTTTCTTATATCGTATACGTCGACATTACTAAATACCCTTAACAATATTGTCTCTACAGTTTATATGACGTAGTAGCCGTTTGTTTTTCTAAACCAAGAACCAAACAATCAAGAACGGGAAGAAAACGAACACCCACTAAAAAGGAAAGTGAAAATGAAACCAAAAATGCATGTCTGTGACAGTCTTCACCGTGAACCCCGCTGTTTCAAAAAGGCGTTCCACTTCTGCCAACCAAACTAAAGGGAATGAGGAATACTGGAAAACGACGCAATATTGAATTACCTCAATAGAAAATTGTCGCTGCAGCAACACCTTATCTAGTTATAATTCTATAAGACCTTTCGTGAGCTTACCAAAAAAATGACAATTAAGTTTCCAAACCTTTAAGATATTATTTAAAGACACAGATCATGGTACAGTTGTAGTTCTACTGTAGTTTAGTAGTGTAAAGCGGTCTCGCATTTTTATGTTTTGTTTGTAACATCAATCTACAGTAAAACTGAATCTTCGTAAGCTCAAAGCCTGGAAAAAACTGGCCAAGAACACCCTAATCCCCTCTGACCAGAGATCCAAATCAGGGTCTTCATCATCTAACCCAACATGATACCGACTGAACTAACAGCGTGTTCTCAGCGTGTTCTCAGAGTAAGAAAATCATATGCGGGTCGTCCAAATATTTTAATGCAGTTCCATAGAATGTTCGCGAGTCCTTGTCAAGGTATGTAGTATATTGGTTAGGCTGCTCGACCGTATAGGAATTGTGTTCTATTCTAGCCCAATGCCAAACACTGTTCTGTCGCCCTGTTGACCAACACCATTCTGTGTAGTGTAGCAGTTGGGCGTTTCACTGTCGCACGCAAGAGGTCTGAGATTGATTCCGGAGTAAAGAGAACAGTTTTTTTATCGAGTCTTCCGGTTTTCCCGCGGGGGATATTGTATCCCTCTCAACCCGGGTTGACCCTGAAAAGTGGGATCGGAAGCTTGTCTCATAAATGATCTAATTTGTGTTGATGGAGGGCGTAAAAAAAACACCTAATTCTTAAAAAAAAAAAATGGTCCACCAACTCACCATCCCCACCATCTGTAACCACACGGCGGACAGATGTTCTGAGGGTAGTCACATGAGCCAGTGGCCGGGTTGAAAAAGAAGCCTCCCTCGTCCGCCGTACAGCGCCGCAAGCTGAGAAACTCCCCGTGGTAACATTCGAAGAAGAAACTGCAGCCCCTTGTGTGGGCGGGGTAGCGACCGTCTGGACGACCTTGACATGTGCTGGAGTAGCCGCAAGGGGGCGGGGCGTTTTCCGGTAAGTCACAACGGCCTGGAGAGAGAAAGAAAGAGGGCAGAGGATGATAGCGAGTTTATAGATTAGTTCCAAAAAGCTGTATACACCATCCAGAAAAATATTGAACTTTTCAACCCTGTGACGAAAATCAAAATTTTGTCCCTTTTATGCATTTCCTTGCCTTGAGATACTTAGCTCCAGAAACAAGCTAGACGCTTTCTCCGTAGAAAAGGGATACAATCAAATGATAATTATAGTTGTCTTTTTTCGCTACCCTATGTTTACTGACTGATAGTTCTTAATTATATATTTTAAGACGGGGAGTGTGTGTGTGTGTGTGAGTGTGTGTGTGTGTGTGTGTGTGTGTGTGTGTGTGTG